TATTTTCAATACTATGTAGAGTAAAAAATCAGAATACATACATATTGCCGATTATATTAATCAATAACGACGGTGCCTATTTTATTTATGAATAGTACATCTTATATACTAACTGAACAAACGACCGAAAGGCGTCAAGAAATGACAGTGATCGAATTTCACTGCATTTCCCTAATATTTTACAGACTTTACAAACACTTATCCTGAGTAAATTGAAATTCAATATTTACTTAAGAGAACACTATTTGTTCTATATACGTTAAGTATTTGTTATTATGTGTTATTTTTGTTTCAGATTCTATGTACAAACGTCATATTACGCCATGTACCTTCCATTATTTAACTGCAGTTTAATAACCTTATAAGCATATTTAAAATTTAAAACAATCTATTTTCTTACACAAAAGCAAATTTTATTTATTTTCATTGATTGTAATTTTCACTCAGCAGACCTATCCCCGTCCTCTTGTTACCGTCCGTCTGTCAAGGTAATACGTTTAAGAATTTTGATTTCTAGGGAACAACTTTGCCGATTTCGACCAAATTATCTGCAAAACATTCTTACGTGATGAGGATTATAATTCGTCTAAATGTTCCTTTCACTAGGAAAGTGTTAAAGATTCATCAAAAATAGACTTTTAAATAATTAAGAAAAATAGACTTTTCAAACCAAATTATAACAGTTTAACTTATTAGGTGTTTGAAGGGTGAAATGATATGTACAAAAAGAAATCTTTAAAATCTCCTCTCATAAAGCTATACAGATTATCAAACTATATGAAACATTCTCAGTAGTGTCACATTTCCGCAAAGCAGAGCTCAGGATCGAGCAGAATTAATTAAGCCACAAAGGGTATTTAAAGTACCATTCTCTACCATTGGCTCATACATTCACCTCTGTCGTTGGCTCGCGTATATCACAGTGATAGGTCGGAAAAATAGAGCAAATTTTGTTTTAATTCATTATAATTAAATGCCTGCGGTGCACTGTAATGTTTGTCCTTTGAGAGATATTTAGTTATTTACTAATTAGATCCAGAAGTACATGTATTCGTTTAGTTTGAAATAGTCCTTAGTATATATGTATCATGGTCTTTTTTTTAATTTTATGTCAAGATCTTGACGTGAACCCATTGCAGAGGTGTCTTAGAGAGGAACGAACGACAAATCTGCATGGGAAATTGTTATATTACTACATGTAGTAAAACATGGGTATCAAATAGAAATGTTTATGAAGATCCGTTTTAAAAACACTTAGCTTCATACGGTAAAGGATGACTGCACTTTAGGACATGCGGAATTTGCGACAAAATAAAATTTCAAAACAAGCATTTTTCTTTTCATTGCAAGAATGGTCAACATCCAATCTACAACTTTATGTAATTACGTTTAATAAAAGTGTGTATTTACGAAGTTCGAATCTGTTTTCAAAGGCAGGGGTCATCGCAATTTCTTGGATCTCCGTTCGATAATGAGGACGCCCACTTTTCTACTGACTTTATACATAGTCAGCGCATGTTTGTCTATTGTTCTACGTTTAACAGTAGTTGTATATTTGCATAAATAACAATGTGTCAAAAGGAGATTAATAGACAAACATGCGCTCATAGTTAAAAAGAGAAAAAACTGCTTCTTCTTACATTCGCTCTCCTTGTTGTTACCAAGGACTGTGACATGTTGAATATTATAATTCACCACGTGATTTCTTACCTCAGGTAACTTTGTGAATATTTAATTCCGTCACGTGACTTGTAAGATAGCATGTTTTGTGCTAACTAGGACATTGTGTTCGAACACGTTAAGTCATCTGGCATTGATATAAAATCTGCTTTAATTACATTGACGTGCTCATATTGTTAGTTTCGTTTTGAAACCTTTGTCAGAAGTGTATTTGTGCCATACAGAATGGAGATGGAGATTGGAATGAGTGATCACGTTCGCTTTTCCAAACATGTCATTGTTATTTATCAAGTCTAATTTTAGACCCATTCTTACAATGTTAGCTCCACCTCTCATGCATATCTAATGTTCAATCAAGGGCAGGTAAGTGTAAATTCACTATATTTGGAAAGCAGTAAGGACAAAAAACATTGAATCATTTTATTGTATTACAGCCTAAAATCATTTTAAGATTTAAATGTGGTTCCAAATTGACAATATTCTTTCATAAACATACAAAAGTGAGATAAGGTTTAGATATAAAAGCAACAGAGGCAACCGAAAAAGACCCAAAAACAGGCGTTAAGTGCAGTCCTCCTTTATATATACTATAGACTAAGTATATTGCATTGCAGATTAAGAATTGTTCTAGTCGACAGGGATTGCATGGTCCACAACAGGTTTGCTTCCAGTCAAGATTCTGCCGCACAATGGATCTCCAGTTCTTACCACTGTTTTGAATAGGTGTCATCACGGAAACTTGTCGTTTCCTTGGGTCCTAGTACGACCAAAAATTCAATGAGTATTTTGATATTTTAGTCTCATACTTGTACAGAGATGCATGGTGGCCAGAGTTGTTCAGGGTCCAAACGTCAAGATAAATAACAATGATGAATGTTAACTAAGTTTTGGAGACAATTAAAAGGATATCGCTTGAATTTTTAGTCCAAAACTTGCTACGGCGATGCATCGTAGCCAGGGGGTAGAAGTCTGTTGGTTTCAAACCCAGCCCAAACACAAAAAGGGCAAAACACACACACACACACCCTCACACACACACACCCTCACACACACACACACACCCTCACACAAAAGAAGCAAAAAACAGAGAATAACTGGAAGATTCAGCTTTATTAAATACTTGCTTATGTGACATTCGCGTATGTAAAATATCTATAAAACATATTACATAGATGAAATATGAAGATAACGAACAGCAATCAAGCTCCAAAGTCCATTTAAACGATACAAATTTGGAGCAGAGCTAGCAAAAACGGACCTCTTAAAATATTAGAGGTAGGATCAGGTGCCATGGATGAGTAAACATCCCCTGTCGACAGGTCACAACCACTGTGAGCTCCTTATCATGATAGGACCAACGGAAAAATCCATAGTAAATTCATTGTGAAAATAATGGCCTTACAATTTGTATGAAAAACGTCAGTAACATTCGAATTAATAATAGATTGTATTTGCATGCTGACAAGGGCATTGTGTAGATCATACAATTTGCAAAATGTTGACTTTAAACGAGACTTTTGATATTCTTGTTTCATCAAATTATTTGTCAATAGCTTGTCTCGTTTAAGAAATTGTTCGTACGTAGAGCATGCTCTTGCATATCGAATCCACTTCGAGACATAAACTCCATATGAAGGTGACAATGGTATGCTGCTACATAAATAATGGAAGCTGAGGATAAAGAAGTCATCACGTTAAACAAAAAGTTTATTTGTTGTTCGGTTACTATTAACGTCTTTTAGTCCCCTACCGGTGAAACCGGGGGGACTATAGGTTTTTTTTCTTGTAAAATATCTAAATATAAAACAGATGTGCCAGACTCTAGCTCGATCTGTAGTATTTTTATATCGGTCGTCGATATATCTAAATGTTGAATTGAAAGTCACAGCAAGAGACTTTTTTTCTTTTCATGTAGAAGTTTCTGATTAAATTCTGTCTCGTATGAATACAAAAATAGGTCTGCTAATAAAGTGGCAAAATTGGTACCTATGGGAATCCAGCAGATTCCTGAAGGACCTATAGTCTCAAAAAACTACATAGATATTGTCAATCAGTAACTTCAGCATTTTTTTAATGTAAACTTCGGAGTACATGAATTGTACTTGTGTGTACAATCAGAATATTTGAGCAAAATAATTTTTAAATGACCAATGACAAGGTAAGTATATTTACAAATTCCATTTTTATTGAAAATGAAAAACCAGCTATAAGTGATGTCAAAACGCCTGGACTTTAATTTATCGTGGGGAATAGTTGTATAAAGTGTTGAAAAGTCGTACGTTTTGATGTCATTGATTTTGTTCAAATTTTGTGATTCCAAGATTCATTCTAAAAGTTCCTTGGAGTTTTTAAGCTTTCACATATGCTTCAGACCACTTCTCGAATATGTATTGCTGTAGAGTACTCCTGAAGTTTCTCCTTCACTGCTAAAGGATAACATAAATAACTATAACACAGAAATCAAAAATACGGGTGTATATTTATTCAAAAACTGGTCCGGCTATAAAGTTGCATGATTCTTCAGTACGTGCACAACATGACAGAGTATAGTTACTCCCTTTTTAGTTGCTTTGGCTATTAGTTATTGAAAAATGAATATTTTTTTCAAATACTTTTACAGTGCTTTTTTTTACGTGCACACAAGTACTTCTCTTCCTGCAATATATCTAAGGACCATTTCGAATTCATTGAACATTGCGTGTTCCCTACTGCAGTTGATCTAAAGATGCTTTTCTTGAGAATTCGAACTTTGAATATATAAAAAAAAGTACGTGTTTGTTCTTCAGTTTTACCATATACATGTATTTCTTTAATACTATATTAATTTTATAATTTACCATTTACCACGCTAGATGTCGAATATTTACTGTTATAAAATGCACTAAATTTGTTTGCACAATTATATTGATATAGATTTTTTCACCTTATCTGAATTATTTGACGTTCGGAAAAAAGTACACGATGAATAGAAATTACCATGATCTATTAATGCAATATTCTTCATAGTGTTATGTTCTGAAAAATCATATTTCTCTTTAACATGAATTTCTTCACGACAGGCTATAGAGAAATTATATATATATATATATATATATATATATATATATATATATATATATATATATATATATATATATATATATTACGTAATCTTGTTTCAACCTCTTTTTTGTTATTCTGTCATATATATACTTTATTCCTTTTTTAATATTTCAATATTTCTATATTATCGTCGGTGTACAAATAATATACTGTGATCAGAATCACTATCATGCTTTAATCCATCATACTGATTCAAACCTCCATTTCTAATTTGTTATTCACTGCAGTGATGGAGGCGCTGTGGGAATGATTGGGAGGGAGGTTTCACTTTCAAACAAATCGAACACTTCCACAAACATAGATCCGTGGGACAGGGCCAGTCTCGGTGGTCCGTCAGGACGAACGTTAATTTCTTTTGGTCGTACAATTGGACAGCTTGATTTTATTTTGCCGTAAATCTCCCCCTTCATTGTCAAAATATGTATCGCATTGGATTTCGAATCTGCAACCAGTAAAAACCCACGACCATCAGTGCATGTTCCGACAGGCTCTAATGACCCGCTGAATTGTCCAATGACGGCTCCGCTTTTATTCAAGAATATAACATTGTTTTTTCTCCAATCACAAATTATAATGACATCTTTAATTGAAACGTCGATTGACCGCACCAGAACTTCTGCTGGTAACGGAAACTGTGCTAGAAGAACGCCGGATGTGTTGATGACGTCAATACCTGCAGTTCCAAACGGGGAAGAAACTCCACATACTAGTGCTCCATTCTTCTGATCGTAAGCAAGACAGGAATATCCTCTTCTAGTGGCAAGACGGTGACCAATCAGCATTGTTCTTCCATCTAGTATTTGGATTAGCATGACAAATCTTTTTCTTGGGATAGTTATACCACATGTCAATGGGTTGTTCAACATCTCCACAACATTAATGGCACAAACGTCCCATGGTTCGCCATCCACGAACTTCAAGCTGTGGAGAAATTCGCCAGTTTCCAAAAACATTTTGAGCTTACTGTTGAAACGATCAACCAGCACCAGTCTGTCTTTCATCCATGCTATGGCAACGATTGGGCCAGTTCTAAAATCGTCAGGTAGCTGTGTTCGAATTGACAACCCGTGAGTAGCATACTGCAGGGGGTTGGAAGTATGAACAGTGCCTTGATTTTGTAAATTAAAACTACCTCTTTGTGGAATATTTGTTCCTTGACCTGATCTTCTTGAGGATGACACACTAGAGGAAGATGAGCTTGATAATCGAGGTGACCTCCTGGGATTAACGTTTCTACACCCTATATTCGATAAAAATGAAGACTGCTCACTCGGCCCATTCTCTCCGATAGCCATCCAGTACGGAGGAGGGGGTTCTTCTTCCTCTGCATAATTAGATGATGAATTCATGGACTGAGGGTCGGTAGGACAAATTGTGATTGAGTTAATATCGTTTGTTGGAGATAGCACCGATTGAGAGCCTGATGCATAATCATCAGAATTTGTTGAATTCTCGGTTCCCTGTACGACTGTCTGACTTTCGTTTTCTATCTCCTCGTCGTGTGATGTGTTTAAATCTGACTCTGTCTGTGGGTATGCTTCTGATGCCACGTCACATGTTGCATTATTTGTGACGTCATCAGATGACCTTTCACCGGAGAAATTCTCCTCCGTATTGGCCACTGAGGGCTGACTGGTACTGACTGAGGGCTCGGTATTTTCAGTGCAGTCATCAACATTATTTCTTTCTTCGGTGGTTGTTTGATCAACTAAAGCACCGAAATTGGTTGCTAAAACAAGATCTTTCTGTTCATATCCTGACAGAAAGTTAACATCACACTCCACAACTCCAATTTTATCTAGCAAGCTTCGACATTTTCCAAAGTAGGCACTCATCTCGTGGACAAGATCTTCCATTAATAATTGTGTTTTGTCAGTGTAAACACTGCTAAATAATTTGAATAACGTCTCTATTTCCTCAGCAAACATCTGCTTTCTTTTTTCTTTCATGGCACTTTCATGTTCGTATTTTTCAAATATTGAGTCTAATTCAGAAAGAATGTCAGCACTTTGCTCTTTCAGGTAAGTAGTGACTTCCTCAATAAATTTACAGTAGAACTCCGTTATGCTTTGTTTTAGTTCGTCTCTCTTCAGAGAGACAGTTTCTCCAGGGTTGGGCTTTTCTGAAACATTATTCCTTAAATCGTTAGCTAGCATTTCAAACTCCTTTATGGTATCTTCATCCTTGTTACAATTATTCTGGTCTGCGTTTTGTGCCTGCAGGGCAAGGGCGATTAGTCGGTTTACCTGAATATTTCCTGGTGTCGTCTCCATTGAACACAAACAGCATTTCGCCACATTGTTTTCTATATCTATCATTTCCCGATCGATACATTTCTTGCAGAAAGTATGTAAACAGTCCAATTTTAGTGGATCAACAAACAGATTTTCACAAAAAGCGCATGTTAAGCAATCCATGTTTACATATTTTAAATGCTCAGGTATTTAGGTGCGTTTGACACCTGTATAAATTCTACGGTAAGAATGATGAATAAAATTAGCGAGGAAACAAAATTTTTTATCTCTGCTATGTATACGTAATGCTTTATGAAAATAAAATTCTGTGACATTGAACAAATTCAATTTTTGAAAGATGCAATCTTCAAACATGAAATTTCTAAAACTGGATAGGAAACCGAACGTGCCTTTGCCACCTTGCTGTGCCTGTCTTTCTCCTGCTATTCCATTTGACTGTTTTTGGTTGATTTTTCTTGCAAAATTTACATAAAAATACAATATATGAAATATCTAAATTTTACATCGCACATTTTTATCATTTAGAATAAAGAATGCGTCTTTTCTATATTCAAGGGTTTTACGGGTTTTAGTGTAAACGGTAAATACGTCACATTACATTCCGTCCAATCGCATACTTCGTAAGATTGGGTGAAAATTTCTTTTCAATATGGCTTCCGGCGACACAGCACTATGGCTTCACAATAAATTAGGATCTACGGACGATTTATGGTCAGGCAAGACAATATGCTCCCAACTGAGTCAGAACAAGTTACAAAGTATCCATGCGTGTTTTCACACCTTACAGCCGCATGTAAAGGTCAAACTTATGTTGTCATTCCTGCACATCCCCAGACGAAACGTAGAGCAGGTAAAAAATTGTAAACATTGAAGTTGTTTTAGCAATTTCTGTTCGTATTTTAGATTTCAGAGTGTTTAAAATGTCTGCCATGAAGAAATTAAACCAGTAAAGTTGTGATAGAAGCAGAAGATTTTAAATGTGTTTGTCTGGTCTCTTTTCTTGGTGTTACTTTCTTTATTGTGGAATAAGAGAATATTGGATTCTTGCAGTCGAGCACTGAACTAAAAAGCTTTCAAGCTTCATATGTTATAATACTGCTGCATAGAAGGTCTAAACTTTAATACAGTGTATGTTAGATATATAGGCACTGCTAGCTTTGTTCTGAATCTCTGTTCACATGGCACTTGCTACAGTAAACAGTGAGCAAATTTTACATATATTCAAATTTTGCACCTGTTTGTATTTTGACACATGTGAATGGGTGGTAAGCAAGATTTGCATGTGAATAAATTCACTCCTAGTGCAAAATCTACATATAATTAAATTCATTGGATGCAAATTAAGGATGCAATTGCAAGGCATCAAATGATCGACTCACGTGATGTTTAAAAAAAGAAGATTTATGGTAACCATTTCCGGAATAAGGAGCGTGATTATGATTACCCCCATGACAAAAAGTCTTCGTGGCAATATTTTTTAAATGGAGAAAGAATAAGATAAAGATATGACGTTGCAGAGTGTTGGTGAGCGTCGACGCAGATTTTTTTTTATCCACATGTTTTGTTTTTCTGTTTTGACACGCCTATAATTCTGAACATTGAAATCTATTTCATTAATAGATTTAAATTAAATCTGAATCTTAATGTCCTCTAGTTTTAATTAAAATGTTAAAATTTTATTAGAGATCAATTTCTTTACTATAGGATCTACATCTATGAATAGATATTCATTTCCTAGAAGCTTCAGACGGCGTGATTTTCTCAGTGATTATAATGAATATATGCAGACCTATATGGATGAACAGATTAACAAATGCGGTTTTGATATATACATGTAGAGACCAGTTTGAGACTGCATGCTGGACATGAACGTATTTTTAAAAATATCTCAGAGGAAACTGTTTTCCTCTGTAAGATCTTCTCAAGCATTTTCAACAGTTAAATCAACCATGTAAACATTGAATCATCTGCACATTATATTGCATAAACATTTGTTGTAAAATGTTTTATGTGTCGTATTTGGTAAAAAATTGAAACTCAACACACTTCTTCTGACAGAAAAGAAAAGTTTCTTTTTACAAGTTTTAATTATTCACAAATCTAGCAAAAAATACGCATGTAAGAATGACAGACGAAATAAAGATAGGTTAAATCTGACAATCGAGGTTCAACAGAGATATACCAGAGAGAGAAAATTATTTTGACTTTTGACGTCAAGTGTGGCATTATGACATCACAATGGAGATATGTAGGATTACCTACTTCATGAGAAAATGAACTGTTTTCTAACTTGCAAAGAATCTCTCTGACGGAAAAATATTTTCAAATGTAAATATTAAATAGCAAGCCAAATAAGATAATAGCTAGGATTTCAATATATACATATTGCAGATACAAGTTCTTTGAAATAACCTTTTCAATCAATGTGTTCAAGTGACTCCCCCCACCCGCCATTATAGTGCAGAGACCTTGATGAGTGTTCAGAGCATGAACAATTTGGCCCTTGGATAACTGTGCACTGTTTTAGAATGTATATATTTTAATATATTGATGTAATAATGGAATGAATGTTTTGGAGATGAGAAATTAAATTTTAAAAAAATGTGCATGTTTTTTTTTTGTGTACATTATACTTTTATCATTCTGCTCTACATATAAAATGAGCAACCACCGCAAGATTTTCAGAAGAAAATATATATATTAATCTATATGTATTGTTTTTATAGTCTTTTAACAGATTATGCATATTAAAGGTTCAGGAACAAACCATCAGAAAATTTGTGAAATCTAATATTTTAGGAGGGGTGGGGGGGTGGGGGGTTGTATTGAAATGCATGTAGCTTCAAAATGAATGTGATGACCGCACTTCATATTTTAACCATAAGTCACTTAGAATAATTAGTACAAAATATATCAGTTTTAGGAAAATTCATTTGGCAATATTTTGTCACGATGTTGAAAACTGCTCTTGGGGTGAAAATATTACTGCAAATTTACAATGAATACTCCCTAAAGCAGCGGTGGCATTACTACATCTATCAATAGTTTCCGATACAATTTTTTCATTTTCAATGAATATAAAGCATATTATACAATTATGGACTCTTTTACTGGTGAATATGGTTTGTTATTCACCAGAAAAATATCAATATTGACCGAGGCGAAGCCGAGGTCAATATTGATATTTTTCTGGTGAATAATAAACCATATTCACCAGTAAAAGAGTCCGTAATTGTTTTATTATATAGTCCGGTTTTGAATAAATAAGACATTGAAGGCTGCATGACGATACCTTTTTTCATTAACGAACCTCTGTCGCAGAAAAAAAAAACAACAAAAAACCACAGATTACAACTTATAACTTCCGTGGTTTCATTTCGCTGTGTATAAGAAATCGAAAAGTTTGGAAAAATATTCATGCGATAGACTTGCCTAACATTTTTCCTGCTCATATACACAGCTTGCTCCGGCCGTTATAACCATATTGTTTTCAACGTTGGGGTATTGATTGTGACGTCACAATGCCGCTGCACGCGCACTGACCCTCCGGTGAATACGGCTTCAAATCCAGTGAATATGTAGTGTTATGAACCATTTGCGTTTGTATAGATTATATAGGGGCTATTTATAGAATATATAATAATATTTAATATCTGGTGGAAATTATTTAATTTGTTTCAATTTTGATACCTGTATGGCATACTTAAAATTTTACCACATAAATTTCAAAATATTGAAAAACTGTGGTTACCATGGCAACCATATCTTCATTATAACCCTGATGACCATGGTTGATAATTTCATATTGTGATACCATTAACGAAAGGCAAATTATATGTAAAAATGAGAAAAAATTCATAGAGTGGCTTTTTTTCACGGACCCTTGCAATTTCTTCCTTAACTCTTCATATAATTTATAAATTTATATATGATATATATAGGATCTCCCATGATTTGTATTTGGATATGATTTTTATCCAACGAGTTGTGTGTTTTTTATCCCAGAGCCGTGGCGAGGGGATAAAAACACACGAGTTGGATAAAAGTCATATTCAACTACAAATCATGGGAGATTCTTTTTATCCCATGTTTAATACTTCACAACTAATGTTTTACACTGTTTTATATAGGAATCCACTTTATTTTACTTCATCACTCTAACGCAAAAACCATTGTGACGTCACAACTGCACTTAACTGTGGTTTATGAAAAAAATATCCAATGAGTCATATCCACGGGATAAAGGCGTAAACATGGGATAAATAAATTTACTCCTGGTGTATTTTTATGTTAAGTGAATGTCTTGGAAAGATTTACACATGGACTATGGAAATATTGAGAAATTGTCCATTTTATACATACATGTATATATATATATATATATATATATATATATATATATATATATATATATATATATATATATATATATATATATATATATATATATATATATATATAATTATATATATATATATATATATATATATATATATATATATATATATATATATATATATACAGCATCATTAATTTCATTTAAAAATGCATCTTTTTTCTTGCTCATTAGACTAAAGAGTGACCTCTTATTGTACTAATATGTTGGCATTGCGACCCTTGAGGCGAGTGCAGTTGTTCACTTAATTTTAAGATCCGCCTCTTCAAAACCCACAAGACATTTGGAATGTCTAGACCGAATTTTTCTCTTTGCCCAGGCGTTGTCTGTAGAGCTTTCACTGTGAGTGGCACTTCGCAAGACAAACCATAAATGATGTAAATCTTACATCATAGTGCAATAAGTGTGTGAATCTTGTGGATCTGGGGACTGGTAAAGTCTACCCAAAATATAATTATTTCAAGTAGCTTTTAATTAAAGAAGGAATGGCAATGTTTTTCTAGGGAGGAACATAAAGTTTAAAAGCAACTAGAAAACCCAAACAAATGTTTACAGAATACTTTGAAATTGCCAACTTAACATGCTTAATACTGATTTACAAACAGTATGAGAGTGCATTTGAATGCATCACAAAATTTACATTTACACACCAAGAATAAAATTTGCATATGTATAAAATTTACAACGGTAAATGAGCCACACATGAACAGGGCTTCACAATCTACAATTTGCCACCATTGAATGATGTTTTAATGGCATTTACAAGTCTTGTAACATTATTCATATGTTCATTATGTTATGTGACTTTATTTAAAATTACCCATTTTCAAACCCCAAAATAACACATTTCTCTAGCTCCAAAATGTTTAAAACTAGCTTCTTTGATCTGCTCTTCTACACTTTTTGTAGTGACTAGTAATTACTGGAGCCGATCAAAGGATCTAATTTTGATTAGATTACATTAAGATTTCACTAGCATTAATTACTTTTACTTAGTGACTAATTGTATTTTTTCAGTGGAAAGGTGACCTTGAGGATATCCTGGCATTAGCCACACACGACACGGATCAATGGGTATCCACCATCGCTGAAATCCTTCAGACGTACCCCAGTACCGGCTGTCTAAATTTAGAACTGGATAACAGTAACTCTACCTTCATGGAGATCCTTACTGACCTCAGTAAAGTGGGTAAGTGGAGAATTCCTTACTGACCTTAGTAAAGTGGAGAATTCCTTACTGACCTCAGTAAAGTGGAGAATTCCTTACTGACCTCAGTAAAGTGGGTAAGTGGAGAATTCCTTACTGACCTCAGAAAAGTGGATAAGTAGAGAATTCCTTACTGACCTCAGTAAAGTGGATAAGTGGAGAATTCCTTACTGTCCTCAGTAAAGTGGGTAAGTGGAGAATTCCTTACTGACCTCAGTAAAGTGGAGAATTCCTTACTGACCTCAGTAAAGTGGAGAATTCCTCACTGACCTCAGTAAAGTGGGTAAGTGAAGAATTCTTATTTAAAAGCAATGTCTGAACAAAAGGGGGAATAATTTTTTTTTGTTTTTTTTTTTTTAACTTCTTTAACATGAAATTTTAAAAAAAAAGCAATTATTCATTTTGACCAGCAACATGGCTGCATAAATTACTGTGAAAAATTTATTGTAAATTTATACCAAGGTTTATATATTTATTATTGTTTGTTACTTTTTGTTACAATACTTATAGTACCTTGATTTTTTAGTGAAGAAGTGTGCGGGAGTTAGGATGTTACCAATGGAGTGTCAGTTTCTGAATAAAACGGCACTTGTAGCCACCACTGGACCCCTACCACAACCCGTCAAACACTTCGCCCTGAAACGTAAACCCAAGTCGGCTATTCTCAGAGCGGAGCTTTTACAGAAATGTAAGTGACCTCCCTAAAGGTCTGACCTAATTACAACCCTTACCACAGAGTGTAGACAAACATATCCAATATTTATGTGATGCAGTCAGTCTCTTTGCTTTGAAATGTACAATTAATCCAACTCTGTCATGTTATCAAAAACCTGTAATTTCAGTAAGTTAATGTTGAAAAAGGGAAAATTTGATCTGGAAAATTTCTGTGCATTTTTACAACCATTAGCTCAACTGAGCTGAAAGTCCCAGTGCCCAGTGACCCTCTCAATGACACCAATGTTAACATTCAAGCTTCACTGATTAAATCATAGACAGAGAATATTATTAATTTCTGTTCTTTCACAGCCTCAGAAGTGGCGAACAATAAGAAAAACAATGCACCTAACAGTGTTCCATATAAAGTCCGCAGCTTTGCCAAAAAGATGGATGACACTAGTAAGTTTTTGTCAATGAAATACTTCGCAAAAGGAGAAAACTCATTTTTCACCCCTGATCGAAAAATGAAGTTCTCTTTTTGTAGCATCAAATAGTGAAAAAGAAATGTCTCTTCCCAAAACATTTATATTCATCTGATGAAATTCATCCTTTGTACATGTGCAGAGTGCACAGAATCATACACTGTTGATGTATTAATTACTAGTAAATATAATAAACACAAATCGAACCTAGTAAGAGTCACTGGTAAACACTGTCGAGATGAAAAGCAGAGCCATAATAAATCATATACGTGTATGTTGTAAATGATGCAAGGATTGAAGAAAGTGAAAAGAGTATTGAAATTTAAAAACTGCTAATATAAGGCCAAAAAAAATTAATCAATAGTTTCTCAGGCACCGTCGCATCAGGTTAAACACTGCCTCATTGATCAATTTTATTGACATAGTGAAAAGGGAAATAGCACAATTTTCTATTTTTCTAAGTTGAAAAAGAAAATAGAGTTATTCCCCTTTTCATAAATGCTAATAGATAGACGTTTTTATAAGATAAACAATACATTTCTTGTTAATACGGTAGTTTTTGAATTAACTTTGTTTGGAATAACATTATTAAAAGTTGAAGACGTATTTTTATTAATGTAAGAGAACAAAAAAAGTAAGAGTCAGTTGATATCATCATTTTGTTGAACGACTGACATGAAAAAAAGGTATATCACCTGCTTCAAATTAAAAAAAAAAAAAAAAACCTGCCTGCCGCATTGAATTATGAAATTTTTGGCCTGAGAAACTATTAATTATTTTTTTATGGCCTAATATTACTTACTTCATGTACACATTCATATCATTTTCATTGCAGTTGGCCATTTTTGTTCCAAGGGAAGATAACTCATTTGATTTCATAATTCTGCCCTTTTTAATATTATTTTCCACTGATAGTAAAAATTGCCTGTTGATTTGTTGATGTTTAATTCTAGCCCCTCTGAAGGGCCTTCCTGGCAGAACGCCACCCTCAGCAGGATTTCGATCCCCAGGAACTGTGCCAGGACGAGCCAATTCACTGCAGGGCAACCCATTGGCAGGACACAGGCAGAACTCTCTAAAAAAGGAGGGAGGAATAAAGGTCAGATTGATAGTTTAAGAACTCTTTAAAACAAGGAGGGAGGAATAAAGGATAAGAACTCTCTAAAAAAGGAGGGGGAATTAAGGGCAGAGTACTAGTATATGTGCTGGGGGTGCTAATAATGTGAATTAACAAGTATACTTAAGATTTTTTTAATTATCAGTAGGAAATTTTTTTTTGGTGTTTCCTGACTGTGTTATCATGGTTGTGTTTCCGGAACATTATTTTACATGTCCAAAAAAACAACATGTAATATTTATTCTTCATGTTTTTATCTTCAATCATTATATTGTGAATTTTAGCTTTTGGAACTGGAAGCTCTTCCTCTGGGTCCAAAGGAAGCAAAACGAAGGAAGAAAATACAAGGTTAGGACAGGATTAAGTAACTGTAGATCACCAAATTTTAATGACACATTATATATGTGAGGAAATCATATGGTATTTACAAGCGAGACAAAATTTTCACAAATTTTGATAGTTGTTGTAAATAATCTTTAATGATAAAAATATGTGCGAGAAAGAAATTTTTGCAAGCAGAGGGTCTCACGTAATTACACGAAAATAAAGTTATTGCAAATAAAAAGTGATTTACAGTATTATGATACTAGATGATGTAATTTTTATAAATCCAATGTTATGAATAATCATGAAGGTTTTCTGGGAGTGATCACAGTAGTTTAAAAAATTTCGTTGCATCAAATTATAAAGATTTTGCAATCCTACTGCATTCTATATCAGCTTAAAGGTGCTTAGACTCAGATTTGAAGTTTATATTTACTTAAATTTTCTGTATAATTTCATGACCTATATGTTGCTATAGCATTTCATACGAAAATTTGATAAAAAATCTTATTTTATCTGGAAGTAATTGAAACTTCGAATTTCTGGATGCGTTTGATAGACACATCCTTGCACTTTCACAGATTTTAACTTTATCCTTATTACTTTAGAAAAGTAGCAATTTTGTTGTTTATTAATGAAAAATATTAAAACTATAATGCAGAAATTCCAGAGTAGAAATGTAGAAAGCAAAATCCTCTCACCAGTATTGTCAGTCCGTGCTCAGTGGTGTGTGCAGAGTTTAACAATTGAACACACCCGGTGAAACGTAAACATTAACAATAACAGGGCTCGTGCCCTGTTTACAAAAACAGTTTACATTTCACGGGTGTATTCAATTTGTTAAACTCTGACACAACTACACAACACTGAGCACGGGCTGAAAATACTTAAGTGAATGGGTTTTGCTTTTGCACATTTTTACCCTGAATTTTCTGGATTATAGATGTAATATTATTCATTAATACACAACAAAATTGCTACTTTTCTTAAGTATTAAGGATAAAGTTAAAAATTGTGGAAGTGCAAGGATGTGTTAATCAAACGCCTCCCGAAATTCATAGTTTCAATAATTTCCAGATTAAAGTTTTTAATTTTATTTTCTTGTGAAATGCTATAGTAACATATAAGTTGTGATATTATACAGAAAATTTGAGAAAATATAAACTTCAAATATGTGTCTAAGCACCTTTAAACATTTCTCAGTGGAATTAATTTGAAGCTCAAAATGATCAAGTTATAACTAGCAAACATAATGAATTTCAGAAATGGAAGAGATGGAACAAAGGAAAAAAGAAAAAGAAGCAGCTGCAGCAGCAGGGACCAACCCAACCACTGCTTCTTATACTCCAGACTATGCTGCAGGCCTAGTGTCTCCTGCCCCCTCTGTAAGTATATAGACCAACCCAACCACTGCTTCTTATACTCCAGACTGCTGCAGGTCTAGTCTCACCTGCCCCCTCTGTAAGTATATAGACCAACCCAACCACTGCTTCCTATACTACAGACTGCTGCAGGTCTTGTCTCACCTGCCCCATCAGTAAGTATATAGAACAACTCAACCACTGCTTCTTATACTCGAGACTATGCTGCAGGTCTAGTGTCACCTGTCCCCTCTGTAAGTATATAGACCAACCCAACCACTGTTTCCTATACTCCAGATTATGCAGGTGTAGTCTCACCTGCCCCCTCTGTAAGTATATAGACCAACCCAACCACTGCTTCTCATACTTCAGATTATGCTGCAGGTCTAATCTGTTTTGCTCCCTCATTAAACAGTCTATACTAGTAAGTCTAGAAAGGATCCTCATTGATTCAAGGGATAGGTTTTGTTTTTGTGTACAGAGAAAATTGTCATTTGGTATACTTCTTGTGATACAGTCTGTGTTTTGATTAATTTTTTCTGTTTTTACTATTTTGCAGAAGCTGTCCACATCTACTACAACATTACCGGGTGTGTCGACGATCTCCCTATCCACTCCGACCCCCACAGTGACTTACGTCCCTCCTGCTGCCTCCCGCCTCGCTGCTCCAACACCCCCCACTTCTTTTGGTGAGTACTCCCCTAACCTTAACAGTGTCAACGTGTCTCTCTCTGTATAAACTAACATGTATATTCACAGTGTAAACAGATGATTTTAGTGGAAAAAATTGATAGAGTTTGAATAGTTTCTTCAAAGGTCAAATTGGAGAGGTCAAGGTAAAAAAGTTGGGATTACATCTTTTTATTGCCTTGGATGACTTCAAACTTGTATGAAAAGTATTAGTTCCTCACCATGGGTTAGCGTTAGGGGTTCCTGATAATTTAATCCTGTACCAACATTGAATTTTCTTTCTTTGTTTTGTTTCCTTTGGAAGCAATAACAACAGATTTGCACTCCATTGTGCATTATGTTTATTTTGTGTTATCTTTACAGTTTCCCCTGTCACTGCTACACAACAACAGGCCAGAGATAATCTCCAACAACAGTTAGAGCAACAGCTCGGCCAATCACAGATCAGGACACAAACATCAATACAAACCAACCAACCACAGACAGCCTTACAAACAAATGTACAGCAATTACCCAGTCAGAACTCTCACCCACAGTCCCAGCCCACAGCAGCTGCAGCTCCACAACAAAAGAAAGGGCTTTCTCTCACAGTAAGTTAAAGAAGAGGTTGTCTTGATGTAACCCTAAGTATTGGCTATGTAAATTTCTATAATAAAAAAAAATACATGTGTAGTAATTCAAAGGACAGGTCACTTTGATTTTGTTAATTTATTTAATGGTTTCGGCAGACAACTTTGAAATGTAAATTTGTGGACATCGATCTTGTCAGATTCTTTAAATAGTAAAATTTGTACTTGTTGATCTCATTATTTAGAGATCTTTCTCAAAAACAAATACTGTAAACCAACTATTATGTGTGACAACTTTAATCTGCAATATATGTATGTCATTGAAATGATTGAAAGCAAGGAAAATTTTAGGGATGAAAGGATATGCTTCCTTCATGATTCAATATGTTTTAAAATATGTCATGAAACAGTTATTTTCAATACAATACATTGATTGAAGGACACAAATTAATACCAAGTTGTTTTCTCATAAATTCATGTTAATTGACATTTAAGTTGACTAGGAAAAATTGACAAAGTAATTGACTCGTTATGATTATTCTACAAACTATTAGTCTTCAAGAATTCATATTTTTAAAAATTTAATCATGCTGTTTTAGCTTGTTTTATGAATGTCAAACCTGATTGATTAACGATCCCAGTCAAAAATTGAATAGAAAATGGAGATTTTGTACCATGTACATGTATCTATATACAGTGAACTGTTTCACTCCTGAAACATTTGAGTAAAAGAAGGTCTCCAAACTTCTGGATGTTTCTCTCTTCCAAGTAGAAATTGGTCAACAGTAATAATTTAAATTTAGCTTGTATGTCAAAAGTTCAATTGGAATCTATGGTAGCATAAAAATTTTCAGCTAAATTAAACATAAGATATTTTGCAATACATGTATCACAGCAAGATAATCTATTTATGAAATTTTTTTTGAAACAATTTAAACTATAAAATCTTCTCTCACTTCAGAAAGAACAGATGTTGGAGGCACAGGAAATGTTTCGGACATCAAACAAAGTCACTCGACCAGAAAAAGCCCTCATTCTCGGCTTTATGGCTGGATCTAGAGGTATAATATTAATCTTATCTCTGGAAGTCTTTTTTATGGCTAATCTTAGAGGCTCAATGATAATTATATTGTGATCTCTGTATGACATCTACACAGATATGTACAAAGTTAATTCCATTCAACAAGTTTTCTTTCAAAGTCTTGAAAAAATTAGTTATATCAAAAATTTTAGTTGTAGTTATTGACAAGTTAAGTCTTTCTGAACAAATTTCTTTTCAGACAATCCATGTCCCCAGCAGGGTAATGTGTTGAGTATACGACTGAGTGAAAACAAAGAGATTATCCAACAAACAGATGGCTCATCCAAAGCCATGCTGGCAGACATGTTCTTCCAGATGAACTATGAGACGGGAGAGTGGAAGAGAATCAAAAAATATCGCGAGTGTCCGGACACCTGAAACGGAGCAGACTTATAATTAATGGTAATTAACTGAAACATTTATCCCTTCCCGCCCAGAAACCTGAAACGATGCAGAGATATAATTGTTGATAATTATGGTAAGCATCTCTCTCTACCCTCCCAGAAACCTGAAACAGTGTGGAGATGTAACTGAAACCTGTACCCTCTACCCTCTCAAAAACCCAGTGCCTTGTTAAATATCATTGGGATCAAATGATACATTCAAAGTTTAATAGCATGTATACACTATATCCCACATCTCTGATCAGCCTTTGATATCTTTTATAAATAGAGGATATTCAATGTTTTGTAGTTGGATATGGAATTTATTTCACGAGTGGGACCGGATTTTTTTTTTATTATTTTCACGAGTGCGAAGCACGAGTGAAAATATTTTAAAAAAATCCTGTCTCACGAGTGAAATAAATTCTATACTGTAGATTCCTAAATATATGCGAGGAATAAATTATCGTGTAATTACGCAAGAAGCACCACTCGCGAAATAAAATTACTCGCTTTTATTTTTATGGTGCTTTAATGTATGTAAAATCTCTAGATAAATCACCCATTCGCGAATTATTGTTCTCATGGTTTGATGCCCTTGGGCCACTTCGCGATATTAAGTACTCGCGTAAAATAAGGAATTTACAGTATCCAGCTACAAAACATTGAATTTTCTGTTTATTACATTTTCTTTCCTTTTCCCTTTGCCTGTGTCTTTTCTTAACACAGTGCCATAGGCTGTGACGTCGACGTCATAGTTGAGCAGTTGAGACATCATAGCATTGAAAACATTGTAACATGGATTTTAGCAACATATTTGGGAAGAAAATGACAGTTTTAGTCTCTATCAAGATGGCTTAGTTACTATATCTTATTACAGGCCAGAAATTATTTTTTTACTTACTTTGATATCCTTTTACACTGTGAAAGAATATCATTTTGGTATCCTTTCACACTGTGAGAGAATATCACTTTTATTCAATAAATAAATCACATATTTCATTGTTGAAAATGTAATAAAATCCAGTATCACAGACAATGTACACAAATAGGTAATGTTTTAAAGTTGGTCTTTTTATAGGAAGCAGTATCAGATGAGGGCAGATAAAGAAGTCAGATCCTCGGAATCCACCAATCCTTGACGAATCTGCAGCCAAATCACATGTTCTTATTGCTTGTCACCCCCGTCATCTGCTGTAAAGATGATGTCTAGGACAGCTGTTGTATTCAATGATTGTCATGGGACACTGCTGTTTAACAATAAGAGGCTAACAGAACCTCAATGCTCACCTGAGTTTTAAAAATAATTTATCTCGCTCCATACAAGTCTTTTTTTGATAGGGATAGACCTTGAACAAACTTCAATCTACAGTTTATCTTTTTTCAAAGATCATATTTCATATTTAAACATATCCTGTTCCTAGACTGGTCTCCTGATGACGATATTTATGAAACACCTATAGATGCAAGTACACGAACTAACGTGTATTTGATTTGTAAAATTTTATCTTTACTGTCAGCTTTTAAGAGATTTTCCTATCGCATTTTCACAGAAAATGTTTCTTTGCTCTTGTACCACTTTAGATAGATATGATTTATCTATAACACAAGTTACAACAAACTTGTTACATTGTTCTCTCTGTTTTATTTGTTACAACAACATTGTAACACAAGTTACAACTTGTGTATACATTAACATCTTCAGGGGATGTTTTGATAAAGACAATTGAACAACTTAAGCTCAGGTGAGCTAAGAATTGCATGAGATCAAATTCATTTTTTTCATAAATTATTTATATATATGATAAGAGTTCCTGTGCCATGCATTCTTTTCTTTGTTTTTAACTGATGTTTGGCCTATCATTTTCTGATTGTGACATGTGACATCTTTGGCCAATCATTTTCTGATTTGATTGTGACATGTGACATCTTTGGCCAATCATTTTCTGTTTTGATTGTGACATGTGACATCTTTGGCCAATCATTTTTTGTTTTGATTGTGACATGTTCATTGTATAAATGTCAGTCCTACTGAGAAGTATGTTGTTTTTATTAAAAGTTGTTACATTGTTCTTTCTGTTTTATTTGTTTGTTTGTGTTTTTTTAGGGTGACCATTATCAGATACTTTTAAATTTTGGATGTGACCATGAATCATTGTGTCTTACCATCTAAACTAGTGTTTAAATCAAAATTAACTTTTATTTCACCCTTTACAGATATTGGCTAGATAAATAGATATTTGAAATTGTGATCAAGAATCATCTCTAGTTAAATACTGTTCATGCTGTTAATTTCTAAATTATCAAGAGATTTCCACTTGTGGCAATAGCGATAGTGACAACGTTTGATTCTTAAGACCAGTTTATATACTGCCTTACAGTGACATTCTGTATACGACCTTGAATCACCTGATAAGTTTTTAAAACAAATTTGTGAAACTTATACTATTTTACATAGCATGGCCATTAAGACAATGGCTTCTATGATCTTGACTTTTAAGATATAATACTTGATATGGATATTACCAGAGGATGTCCGAATACTGTGTCAAAAATTTCTGGCTCATATCCAGCAGTGACCTTGACCTTTGAATGAAATCATGACATTATCTATGCAAGTACAAAATACTAGAATGTTTGCGGTGTAAAAATATGGTATTGATTTGACCAAAGTCTAAGATTAAAATAAAGATTCCAGAGAAATGAAGTGATGGATGGGTAAGTGCAGTTCTGATGTACACCAGACCACGTCTACGGTTCTAGTGTGGAAAGAGAATGATATAACGATAAGTGTAATTAGTATAATTACTAGTTATAGGTCATTATTTACACACTGAATTGTCGACGGAATTTTCCGTTATTTACCGATCATGACAAGGAGCACACGGCGGGTGTGACCGGTCGGCAGGGGATGCTCACTCCTCCATGGCACCTGATCCCACTTCTGATGTTTTTGGAGGTCCGTGTTTGCTCTGCTCCCGATTTGTATTGTTTTAATGGACTTTGAGCTTTAATACTGTTCGTTATCTCCATATTTCGTTTATTGCATCACCAAGTGTAGATTCTGAAAAAGAAGGGACCCCAGGACCATATTAACAAGAATGCAAAATACCTTCTGCATGGTGTAATTCTCAAGAATACATAACCTTTTTCTATTTTTTAAGGATTATTTGACACTGAATTGCTGATAACGATTCCAAATTATATTGGGGGAGGGGTGTTAACATTTTTATAGAGCAGAGTAATCTAATATGGGAGTTTGTACAGAGTTTGTATATATATATTTCCATCCTTTCCATTTTATGTTTTTCTTAATTATTTTCCTTACAAAAATGAAATAAAAGTATACAATCTAATTAAAATTATATGTTAGATCCACTCGCATACTCGCTACTTAGATTGATCAATAGTATAATACTTCTTCTATTCTTTTTTTTTTAATTCATTGCAATTAACTTTACAGAATATAATGATTTTTCCCTAAAGTTACTCTCTTTTTTAGGCACGTAGTAGCGGAGGTGTACATGTCGAGCTTGGACACCCCCATTTTATTTATTTATTTTATTTTATTATTATCATTATTATTATTATTATTTTTTTTTTTTTTGCTTGTCAAAGATTGATCAGGTTATTAAGTTTTCTTTTTTCTTCGTTTGCCCCCTTTCAATGAACTACGTGCCTGCTGTTTAAGTTAAATGAAATTATATCTAACAGTGCGACATTTAACTCCGGACACGACATTTGTCCGGACTTTCGCCAACCACTTTTCCAAAGATACATGGAAACCATTTATGTCATCTGGTGGGATTTTTTTAATCGCACAACATGGACTAACCTTTACACCTGAATATCTTCTAGATTAAAAGATATTACACCTGCAATCAAGAAATCCCATGGGATTATGGTGGGATTTTCTCTCCTAACTAATATCCCACCATTATTCTGTGGGAGAAAAATGAGTTCTGTGGGATTTTTTCTTCTATAGAAGCAAAACTCCCATTTTTAACCTTACATGGGATTTTTTATCCCATAATTTGTGAAATAGGACAAGAAGTTCTATAATTGTCACTAATAGGATTAAAAGTTCTCTAACAAAATGATTTATAGAATATTTTATCCTACAGGAGAATGGAAATTGTTTTTATCTCTTTAATGTACAGGGAAAAACAGTCCATCTTCTTTTAATCTAATACAGTCAAGGGTCAAAATTATTTTTGAAAGCTTTTTGCCATATAATTCATTGCAAACTTAACATTTTAAAATCATTACTTTAATATTTCTACTCTAGCTTTATATCACTATAAAAAAAACTTTACTGTCATATTATATACATGCTGTGGTCTAGATATAAAATTGCTATTCTTTACTTTTATCAGTGTTTATCATAAACCTTAAATAGACTTCTGCATGGATCTATCTTGAAATGATTTCATAATGAATGGTAACTAAAATATTTTTTTTAAATATCATTGAAATAGGTTTGTAATGGGTTATAATTATAAGTGCTGAAATACTTCCGACCTTTAAATGTATTTTATGAAACCACCTTCTCGGGTGCTCCTTATACATAGGAGGGAATTCCATAACTGAACTGAACTAAAGCACCTTTCTTTTTGACTTATTAATTGCGCTGAGGTGATTGTGGACTAATTCAAGCATTACGTATTAAACCAATATCTCAATAAAATGAATATAAATGAGACTAAATTGATTTAAAAGTACGTGAATTAATCCTTTCAGCAGACTGCATCTTTCCCTGTTCTTGCATCACAGTTGCAACAATGCATTTACAGAATGTGTAATTTTACTACGAATACAAAGCGCAGTGGAGATCTTGATCGGTATTGGGTGGATTCGTCTCGACTATGTGGATTCACTCCGGGCGTTTCGTTTCATTCTAAATAAAGTATTCAATTGTTCTATAACGACTATATTTTTCTACTTTAAATGAATGTTGAATTATTTTTAATCATGGTCGCGTTTTCACTCGGAGAGCGTTATCAAATAAAAGTACTCAGCCAAGTGAATTTGCATGAAATAAAAGGAGAAAACTTGTAGTCCACTCAGGTTTCACAAATGAATTTAGGGGTCAAATAAATTCATATGTTATATGCATGCAGGTATCTGACTTTAAAAACTTAATTTCTATTTTTGAATAGTAATTATGACTGTATTTATAAGGCAGATAAAGCTCTCCCTTTTCGAATAATTTATTTAAATTTTAAAACCTGGTCTTGAGTAGAAAAAAAAGTCTCCCATTGGTCATTTTCTTAATGTTTCAAAAAATATACACAAATTCATTTATTAGGTTTGATTTACTAAGTGAATGCTATGACAAAAAAATCTATTCCAAACTGGCTAAATTTCATTGAAAAGTACAAAAAGTTATGGTAATTTAATTAAGTGAACACACCAATTCCTATCGATGGAGTATACCATGATGATGGATTCTCCCTATGAAAATTTCAGTCCTCTTACAATTTATCAATTGACATTTAGAAAGTACATGCTATTGCAAGCAAAATAATATCAAATTGGCAAAATTTCATTGAGAAATAAAAAAGTTATGGCCATTCAAGCAAACACACCGGTACGATTGACAGAGTATAATATGATGATGGATTCTCCCTATGAAAATTTCAGTCCTTTTACAATTTATCATTTGACATTTAGAAAGTACATGCTATTGCAAGCAAAATAATATCAAATTGGCAAAATTTCATTGAGAAATAAAAAAGTTATGGCCATTCAAGAGAACACACCAGTACGATTGACAGAGTATAATATGATGATGGATTCTCCCTATGAAAATTTCAGTCCTTTTACAATTTATCATTTTATATTTAGTCTAGAAAGTACATGCTATTGCAAGCAAAATAATATCAAACTGGCAAAATTTCATTGGGAAATAAAAAAGTTATGGCCATTCAAGAGAACACACCAGTACGATTGACAGAGTATAATATGATGATGGATTCTCCCTATGAAAATGTCAGTCCTTTTACAATTTATCATTTGACATTTAGAAAGTACATGCTATTGCAAGCAAAATAATATCAAATTGGCAAAATTTCATTGAGAAATAAAAAAGTTATGGCCATTCAAGAGAACACACCATACTAGTATGATTAACGAGTAATATATGACATGATGATGGATTCTCCGTATGAAAATTTTAGTCCTCTTATAATTTATCACTTTACATGTAGAAAGTACATGCTATTGCAAGCAAAATAATTCCAAATTGGCAAAATTTCATTGAGAAATAAAAAAGTTATGGCCATTCATTAGAACACACCAGACTAGTACGATTAACGGAGTAATATGACATGATGATGGATTCTCCCTATGAAAATTTCAGTCCTCTTACAATTTATCAATTGACATTTAGAAAGTACATGCTATTGCAAGCAAAATAATATCAAATTGGCAAAATTTCATTCAGAAATAAAAAAAGTTATGGCCATTCAAGAGAACACACCAGTACGATTGACAGCCCATATCGAAAATGAATACAAAAATAATACAAGAAAAAAATACTAAAATAATACAAAAAAAGTATATTTTTAATGACCAAATTTGGAACCCTCTAAATCTTGGTTCCAATTTAGGTCAAAAATAATAGACTTTTTAAAAGCCAAACACAGAAAAATATATTTTTAATATACTTTATTTTTTCGAAATAATACAGAAATGATACACATGACCTGTAAAAACGTATTGTTTTTGTACTTTTGTATTATTTCTCTATTTTCCTCTCCAAAGTATAAAAATAATACAGTCCATAGAAAAGTATAGAAAAAATACAGAATGTATTAATTTTGTATTAGCATATATTATTTTTGTATTTTTTCACCTTTAAGAATTAAAATACAAAAAAAATATAGAATATATTAATTTTGTATCACATATATTATTTTTGTATTTTTTCATCTGGATAAATTAAAAGTACAAAAAAGATATAAAATATGAAAATAATACAGTACACAAAAAAAGTATGAAAAAAATATAGAATGTATTAATTTTGTATTAATTTGTATTGTTTTTGTATTTTTATCAGCATGAAGGATTT